GGGAAGGGGGAGGTCTCCTGCTGGGGGTGGGCATGTCTGGGCATTTCGGCTCACTAGGACGTGAGCAGGATGGCTTTGTCCGTTGTCGGTATATGCAGTATGTGGTTTGTCTTTGCTGCGTCCATCCATCCATGTCCTAATGTGTTCCTCTTTGGTTCGCTGGCATACGGCGGTTTGTCGGTAAGTGCAGTATATATGCAGGTGATTATAATCCGAGGGAATCATGGCATTTGTGAAGTGGGTCTGAGGAACATACTGTGGTCATGGCTCTTTTCGGTGTCTCCTGCTTTGCTGGGGGTCCTGCTCAGGGTTTTTTCCCCCCTGGACTCATTGTCTGCCTTCTTGCTGGTTGCCCACGCAAATGGTCGCGCCATGGTTGGCGCACCGACCGGTTGTTCTCTGCCTGTGTGGGGGGTTCGTATCGTGTGTGACCGGGGCGGGACGTACTGCGTGTGTGAAGCGACATACATATTGTGAACGATAGCGCGACGGTTTTTTGGCACACTTGAAGAGCTGGGCTACGCAGGTGAGTGCCTATGTGTCGGATTGCGGTTTGGACGATCATGTGTGAATCAAGAAGAACTTCCTGTACACTAAGGCAGTTGGCGGGGAGGGGGGGGAGGGGGGAGGTCTCCTGCTGGGGGTGAGAATGTCTAGGCGACTGCGGCTCACTAGGACGTGAGGGCTTTTTGGGTTGTCGGTGTGTGCAGTGTGTGGTATGTCTTTGCTGCTGCGTCCGTCCATCCATCATCATAATGTGTTCCTCTTTGGTTCCCACACATAACGCACTTCGCTGTGTCGCACCTGGCACACGGCGGTTTTGTCGGTAAGTGCAGTACATATGCAATATGCAGTTCGATTGGTCTGAGGGAATGAGGGCATCTGTCAAGTGTCTGAGAACATCTGTGGTCATGGCTCTTTTTCGGTGTCTCCTGCTTTGCTGGATGCGTCCTGCGTAGTGTTTTTTTGCCCTCGTGCACTCATTTGCTGCATTCGCGCCATTGGTGTGTTCTTGTCCGTGGCCCACACAAAATGGTCGCGCCGTGACGATTGGCGCACGACCGGTTTTTCGGTGTCTGTGTGGGCGTTGGTTTCGTGTGTGAACAAAGGAGTGCCCATGCGTCGGATTGATGAGCGATGTCGAGTGGTTTGGACGATGATGTGTGAATGAACATTGATCATGCGACATTGCATTCGTTTCCAGTCCTACTCAGCTCCTTGTCATTCATCCATTCATCCATCTGTCTGTCTGTCTGTCTCATTCATTCCTTCACTTCACTTTCTCGTGGATCTTGTCCTCAGCCTCCTGAAGTGTTTTCGGAAACACACCATCATCGCAGACAGACGGCGGCGTTTACAAGTGTAAACCCTCTGTCAACGGACGGCAGAGCCGAAGCAGAGTAGACGCAACGAAAGAACGGGATACAAATAAATATACACATGTCTACGTGCGGAGACAAGGCACAAGTACAAATGAAGACCTAGCGAAGGGCAGAACAGATAGATGTACAGACACAACAGACCGCCACGAGCTGAGCTGGATATCTGTCGTCTCTGCCGTGTCTTTGCACGACGACCGACTCAGACTTGATCGATGGCCCACTCCCCCCTCTCCGCTGTGTTCATGCATCAATCCATCCATAGAGACATACAACACGTGGACGCATCACACACATCAGGTCAGGTGTGTCGTCAACGAGGATCTCGGTGCCGCCTGTCTCAGCCACCACGACCAACACTCCATCGACCATCATCCCACCTCTCTTACTGACATGTGTCTCGCTCCCGTGCCCGCTCACATTCCCACTGCCCCCATGCACATGAGACGCAAAGCCCGTCGGCGTGCTCGGACGGGCGTGTGGCGTCATTCATTTGTCGTAGACGGGTGGGTGTGGTTGTTCGTGTGTGTCTTGGTCTGTTCTGTGTCTGTGTCTTGCTCAAGACCTGCACACACACACAAAGGGACATTTCCCCCGTGTGTGTATGGGTGTCCGTGTGTGTGTGTGTGTGTGTGTCAATGGCATGGCCGACCGGCGTACTTTTGGATGAGTGGGTTAGCGTAGAGGTCGGCCACGGCCGCCGCGGACAAAGCAATGTCCCACACGGCCACGTCGTCCAGCAGTCCCTCGTAGAATCCCCAAGCTGGCAACGGCTCCTCGGCGTCCTCACCCTCAATCGCCACCAACGTGCTGCTGACCGCGATTGTGTCATTGTCGCTTGTTGGCGCCTCGTGTGTGTGTTTGCCGCCGCTGGGACGGCTCGGACCTCTGTCATGCTCCCTGTCTTCGGGCACTGCACATGAATCGATGGACACACACACGAAAGTGTCTGTGTGTGTGTGTGGAGGTCGGGAGGGGCAGAGTGGCGTACCCATTGCGATATGCGCAAGTCGCCTCCTTTCCTCGTCAGCAAGCCGTGCCAGCCTCTCTAGCTCTTCCCTCGCCATTCGCACTTGGTACGGTTCATAGAGAGGGCCGAACGCCGTGGTGTCATGCGCCCTGCCGATAGCGCTGTTGCTCTCGTCGGAGTGGGGGATCATGTGGAAACCCGTCTCGACGCTGCCCGCCTGTGTGCCGTTGATATAGATGGCCAAGAGGCCGTTGTTGGTGCCGTCGAAGATGAGGGTGATGTGTGTCCATGCGGGGATGTGCTCGTAGGGGTAGAGGGAGAGGGTGAAGGGGACGGAGAGGATGTGCCGGTCGTCGTCTGCACACAATGGATAGTGGGTGGGTGGGTGGGTGGAGATTACCCACCTGAGCTTGAAATGGCAGCGTCGAGCGTGTTGTCGATGGGCACCAGACCGACAGAGACACCCGCAGATTCTCCGCCCTGCACACACATGCACACACACACACACACACACAGACAGACAGACAACACGTGCATGATAGCTGTCTCGAAAATCATCATGCTCTCATTCAACTTTGAGACCCTCGCAATGAAGCCATCTTCCCCTCCAGGTTTCATCCAGAACGCCAGCGACAGGGCCGAGAACCGCCGCGTGATGAGGTCCCCACTGATGTCCACCCACGTGCTCTCCCCGTCCAGCACAAGCGCCTTCCCAACCTGGGCCGCGTCCTCACTCAACGCCTCTTGTTGTTCTTGCTGCTGCTCGTCATCATGAGCGGTTTCTTCGTCTCCCTCTCTCTTGAAAGTGCCGTTTGTCTCTGCGTTGGTGTCGTTGGAAGTGTCCTCAAACGACCATTGGGCAAGCAGCCGCCCCTGCGACGCCAGCACGTCGTCACGGATCGTTTCCTCGAAGGCGTACACACGGACGTCGTCGACCGAGGCGGAGAAAAAGGATGACGGCTCATTATCGGAGGATGACGGTGGGAGGTAAGCACCAATGGCCGCGTTCTCGGCTTTCGCGGCGATGGCATCGAATTCAGTTTCTTGTGTGGCGATGAGCTTGCCGTTGACGAAGAGGGAGAAGGTTTCGTTGCCGCCGAGGAAGCGCACGGCCACGTGAGTCCATTCGGTGCTCGTCATGTGGACGCGGATGGTGGCGTTGCGGCCCTCTGATGCGACGTAGCCTTCCAGCAGGCCGCCCTTGATCGCCATTGATACACCGGCCTCCTCATCCCTGCACACACACACACACCCCATACATCCACCCACCCATTCTGCGTGTCCGTCCATATGTGTGCGCCTTTTCACGCACCCACCCACCCTTCAGCGTATAGTGTCTGTGGGTCCTTCATGAGCGGGTCATCAGCCTTGAACCACAGCGACACACTGCGGTCGACAACCGCCTTGCCGAACGACTCGTGCGACACGTCCATATAGCCCTCGCCGCCCTGCCCCAAGACGAGATGGCCGTCGTTGGGGCCCCGCCTGTCTGTGGTAGTGATGGTGGCGCCGCCCTCCAGCCGCCCGTCGTTGCTCTTGCGGAGGTCACGGGGGGACTTGTTGTCAAACACCCATAGGGACACCTGATGATTGATTGATTGATGCACACAGAGGTGTGGGTGTGGGTGTGGGTGGGTTACGTGCCCCGAATGGGTAGGGGCGCTTGACGGGCGTGTCACGGAATCATGGCATTCGGTGTGGCACCCTGACAAACACACAGACAGGGAGGGAGGGAGGGAGAGAGGGAGGGACACGTGTGTGTGTGTGTGTGTGTGGTGGCATGTCACCCACCCACCCACCCACTCACCCGGCCTCATAAAGCTTGGTGTTGAGTGCAGCCCTCAACTCCTCGACCAGCTCCCGGCTCTCGTCGCTGTCGTCCTTGGCCAAATTAGTCATCTCATACTTGTCCTTCGTAAGGTCAAACACCTCCCTCCGGTCCTTGTAGCGCGAGTACTCGTTGATCTTGTGCGTCTGCGTGCGCCACGAGAACCATGTCGGCCAAGTCGGCGCGGGGTCCTTGTGAAAGTTGGTCAGCACGCCTTCTCGCCAGTCGTCGAGCAATGGGGGGTCTTCCGGGCTCTTCTCGAATAATGGTCGGAGGCTCTTCCCCTGTGTGTGCATGTCCATGGAAACACACACATACAATTGGGAGTGTGTGGGCGTGAGTGGCGGACGGACCTGGTAATGGGGTGGCTGCTCGATGCCGGCGAGATCGAGCACTGTTGCAGTGATGTCAAAATGGAGCACTAGGTCCTTCTCAAATCGGCCGGTGTCAGCTGCACACACACACACACACACACACACAGAGAGAGAGACAGAGAGTGGTACATGTGCGATTTTGTGCGTACGTATGGGTTCGATCATGTCTGGGTATCGGACGATGAACGGTATCCGAATGGACTCCTCGTAAGGCGACCGCTTGCCGAGCCGGCCGTGGGAGTTCAGGAAATAGCCGTTGTCGGAGAAAAACATGAGCACAGTGTTGTCGGCCAAATCTGCCGTGCATACATTAATTGATGTGTCCACAATGCATGCACACATATACGTGGGTGTGGGTGGGTGGGTGGGTGGGTGGGTGGAAGGGTGCGCATCACCGAGGTCGTCAAGCTTGTTGAGCACCCGGCCGATGTTGTCGTCCTCCGTTTTTCGCGGTTAGTGTGGTTGATAGCGTTGTACCTAACCCACACACCCCGGCCACACACATTCACACATCGACACACACGTGGATATGACACATGAGTGGGTGGGTGGGTGGGTGCCGTGCGTGCACACCATCTGGGTGTCGTGTTTTCGTTAGGCATCGGTGGGAAGTCCGTGTTGTTGTATATGCCCTCCGTCTTCGTGTTGGGCTCCCAAGGCACATGTGGGGCCTGGCATCCACTCAAAAAGGGGAGGGTCGGTGCATGTGCGTGCGTGCGTGCGTGCGTGCGTGCGTGCACATGTGTGTGTGCCTATCGTCACGTGCGTCACCTTGAGTGAGACAACGAGGAAGAACGGTTCGTGTCTGTACTTCTCCAGGAACCGCAATGCGAAGCTCGTCGACCAATCTGTACACACACACAGACACACACACAGAGACAGAGAGATGGATGGATGGATGGATGGACGTGTGTGTTGGGGGAGGGCGGAGGGGGGAGGAAGGCGCCTACCGTCGATCCATCCCTTTCTCTTGTCGTCAGGCCGCTCCTCCTCGTTGATGTAGAACTGATACTCGTCGTAATACGAACCCTTTATAGACCACACACACACACACGCACATGACATGAGGTGCATGATACCCACCCACCCACCCACATGCGCTTGCCTGGGCCAGAAAGGACGCACTGAAATCGAACCCAGGCCTTTCTCGCTGTGGGGAGCCCAGCCTGCAAAGACAAACACACAACACGGATGTGCATCCTTGACACACGCACACACACGCACACACACACACACGGGCGTCCAACGGGCGTCCGGACCATTTGCCCACGAATGCGGTGTTGTATCCGTGTTGAGAGAGGATGTCCCCTATGGTGTTGTCGTTGTTGCGCGTGATGTTGTCGCCTTTCCCTGGCACCGGATACTTAGAGAGCACATTGTCCAACACACCTGAATGGGTGGGTGACCACACAATGTATACGTACGCACGAATGGTGGGTCGACCCCTCAG